ATGTACTGTATACTTGAAACTAATGAAAAGTTTTTTTTTTAAATCTCCATGTAGCAGCCAGGATGACCCAGTGTCACCCCATTCTAGGCTTCGTTCGTTTCTGAGCCACAGCAGGTGGCCACTTAAACCACCCAGGCCACACTCCAGCATCTGTGTGGGGAGAGAAGATATTCTGCATCCAATTAAAAGCAACAGGAGCGTGTAAGGGAGAAAGTAATTCTTCTTGGAAGCCAGCCAGGGCATCCTCGTGCCAAGATCAAGAAGGATAACGACAATAGCCATGAGAGTGGAAAGGAAAAGGCTTCTACAAGGCCATAGGGACCTGGCAAAGTAATAGGAGGAGAAGGGCCACCTGAGATGGACACTCTGACCTTTGCAAACCTCCTGCACGAAAGCCAGTGGCCCAGCCCCCTCCTAGAGAGGAACAGGCTCCTGGAAGTGCCACACATCCACCTGGGTCTCTAGCCAGCTCTGCACATGTGGCACATATGAGGACGAGCTCCTCGTGATGGTTCGTGCTATGTGTCAGCTGGGCGGGGCTACAGGGTCCAGTGGTTAGGTCAACACCAGCCTAGATGTTGCTGAGAAGGTATTTGAAATGTGTGTTAAACATTTAACCTTAAGTAAAGATTAACACTTAAATTGGTAGACTTTGAGTCAAGCAGATTACCCTTCATAATGTGGGTGGGCCTCATCCAATCAGTTGAAGGCCTTCAGTGTACAGAGGGAGGTTTCTGGAAGCAGGAGGAACTTTTCTCAAGATGGCAACATAGAAACTCTGCCCGAGTTTCCAGCCTTCAGACTCAAGAATGCAACATCAACTCTTGCGAGAGCCAGTCCCTCAAACCAGTGGTGCTCTGTCTCCTGTTGGTTGTGTGTCTCTGAGAACCCGGACTACTACACTTGACATCTCACCCCCACTTCTCCGCGTGAGCTCCCCCATTAGGAGCAGGGGGGCACGAGGTCAGGAGGCACTGCTGCACCGCACTTCTGTTTCCGGGTCACAGTTCGCAGTAAAAACGCACCCATTTTCCCATTTACTGACCCATCTGGAACCCTAGTGTGGGCTGTTTTAGAAATCCTTCCCCTTTCAGCCTGGATCCCCCCGCCATTCCCCTCCAAAACCACCTTCTGTAAAGGTCATTTCACTTCCATTCAACAGACATTTACTGAGCATCTACGTGCCGGGAGCATCGGCAAAGAAAACACGTCTGCGTCCCTGCACGAGGCTTTTGTTCAGGCGGGTGAAATGTAAACGAGCAAGAAAATACACTACGATGCACAGATATTCTATACTTTTTTCAGAAATCGATAAGCACAACGGAAGAAAATATCACAAGAGCAGGGAGGTGAGGCGGGCGAGCTGCAGTTTCCTGTGAGGTGGTCAGGGCAGGTGTCGTCGAGATGGCCCTGTCGGACTGAAGACATGAAGGAGGCTGAAGAACGGGCTACCGGGGTATCTGAGAAAAGGGTGATCCTGGCAGAGGACAGCCAGGGCAAACACCCTGAGGTGGGCGGGGCGGGCCTGGAAGATTCCAGAAAGAGCAAGGAGGCCACTGTAGCTGGAAGAGTGTCGTACTCAGGGAGGGCCACGTGAGGGAGAGGAGAAGGGGCGAGGTCAGGAGCTGCAGAGGCAGCGATACCGAAGGCGTGACTCTTACTCAGAGAGCAGAAGCCTTGGAGGGTTTGGAGCTGAGAAGCGAAATCCTTCGGTCTGTATTTTCAAAGAGCCCTCTGGATGCTGCCTGGGGGACAGGCCACGGGAGGCAGGAGCCGAGAGACCAGGGGGAAGCTACTGCAGCAATGCAGGCAGGAGGTGATGGGGACTTGGATGACATGGTGGCAGCCATGATGGCCGTCGAGATGGTAGGAAGTGGCCCGTTTCTGGGCATAATCTGGAAGGAGAGCCAACGGTCTCTGCAGATCGCCCACTGAGAGACAGCTGCAGGATGGGGAGGCCATCATCTGAGGCAGCGAAGGCCGTAGGTGGCGGGGATTAGGTGTGGGGAAGGGGCCATCGGTTCAGCTTTGGGTTCGCTCATTACACAAAGACAAGCAGGCAGCGGAATGTACCAGATGGACGAGCAAGAGCGAGTTCTGGGCTGCAGATAGACAGGGTGCAACAGCTTGAGAGAGAATGTTTAAAACCCTGCGGCCGGAGGAGACCCCCAGAGCAGAGGCAAGCCAGGGGAGAAAGGGGGCCCAAGGCTGGACCCCGGCACCCCCATGCCAGAAGTCAGAGCAGGAACACGGGCCAGCGGAGGAGATGATAAAAGCAAGACCGGCCAGTAAGAGGAGAGCCGGGAGCCTCCAGCGGAAGGCAGGAAACGGGCCCACACGCTGGAGGGTGGGCGCATGGCGTGGCAGGGCACCAAGGAAGCGCCCGGAGGGGCGGCCAGAGCAGCTGGAGGGTCAGCCGACAGCCTGGGGGCCACGGGGCTGCGGCAGCTTGGGTCCATGTGCTATTTCTGCGACTTTGTGGCGTAACCTTGAGCTGGCTGCTCACCAGCCCCCTCGCTGCTCGGTTTCCAGGTCTGCAAAGCAGGGCCACAGGCAGCAGCCTCCCAGCCGACCCGCTGTGAGCATTCCAGGGCGTACGTGACATTCAAGCCTGATCTCGGGACCTGGCCAATGGCATCCGTTACCATAGTCATTCTTCTCTGGATGCCTGTGAGTGAAGCTACCAGCCAGCCTGCCTCTTCTCCAGTTTCGTCTTGAGACCAGCGTCGGGTGTTGATAGGAAAGCATGGCTCCACCTCCACTTTCACACTTTCACAGGGGCTCTTACTCATCTGCAAGGCAAGAAGGCATGGCAGAGCAACCTGGGCTGGAAACCTGAGTTCCGCAGCAAGCCATGAGGTCCTGGGCACGGCGCTGGGCCTGCTGCAGCTTGATCTTCGTCCTGCATGAAGGCGTCCCCTCGAGTTCCATAGCCATGAAGCACTTTGTCCCTAGACACAAAAATGCTCCACTGTATACAGAAATAGAGAGTGGGAAACACGTGTTTTACAGGAAGCCTTTTAAGACACAGAGGCTGTGGAGCCTGTGCTCACAGGCCCCGGTGGCCAAGGGCTGCGGCCTGGAGCTGAGGAGGCCAGGTCAGGGGCTGGGCCATCCACGCAGAGGCAGCTGACTTGACTGGCCTCAGTCATATCTCACCCACCTAGCCCGGTGGCCACACGGACGCACACACAGCGGACGAGGTGGACATCTAAGCGCAGACCCAGTCCTACTGCCAGACCAAAACCTTCACCCTCAAAACCCACCATCATCTTCAGGATGAGAGGCAGTTCTTCCCCAGGGGACAGAGGGACGTGGCTCTGGCAAAATCTAGGCTTCAGAATACACACTCGGTGCCTGATTTCTCCACCTGAGAAGAGGCTTTCTGAATGTGACCCAGCACGTTCAGAGCAGCCGGCATAAAGAGACACATCTGCTAAGCAGCAGCTTGATCCACACACACACACACGCGCGCGCACACACACACACACACACACACACACGCACACACACACACACACACAACTCCCCTTTGGTGAGAAAGGACTTCAGGTCTTTGCCATCAACATTGCCATGACCATTTTGCAGTAAATATCTCTTCCTGAGTTCAAGTCAGAACTTAGTCCAACATTTATAAGTTTACACAGCTATGTGGCACCTTTGCTTTGACTGCTGCCAAAGTCTGGAAAACTAAAAACTAAGAACCACTCGTTGCTATGATTGGGAGCAAGATGGCCTTGCTTGTAACGGGGCAGTGGCTGAACGGGCAGACCCTTGCCAAACGGTGCCTCGTTTTCACACAGGCCTGCAGAACAGGACCCCAGGGAGAAGAAAACTGAAGGTTAAACCCCACACCACAAAACCTAGTTGTTTCTTGGCCGCATGAGGAATTCAAAGATGAGCTCGGTTTATGCTTGAGAAGTGGACACAGGAAGACCGATCCCCCCTCCCCGCCCTACGCCTGACCAGGGCTCACTTCAGCGCTCAGTGTCCCAGGGGGACCTCGAGCGCATCTTGACTTAAAACCACCTGAGTTCCCAGAAAAACTCCCAGAATCCTTCACAGACCGAGCCTTGCGCCCAACTGCCCTCCAGTTTGAATTTCAAGACCCAAGGTACAGACCGAGGGAGGGCGCCCGGAACAAGCAGATGGGAAGCCACACGTGACTCAGAGGCGTCGTGCTCGCGAGGAGGTCATGTGTGGCCGAGAAGTCTGTACACAGGGCCAGGCTTTGCGGTGATTTCTAAGCCAACTGTATAAAACGTGGCTTCCGTCTGGACCTGGCCGAGCTGCGGTCCCTACAGGCCACCGTCTGAGACATGCTCTGTGACGAGCTGAGTGCCACCACGCTGCTAACAGTGTCCGGCCAGATCCACTGCAGGAATGAAGGGAGCTGGGGGCCTGTGTTCACCCCAGTCTCAACACTAAAGAGCACAAGGGTTGAAAGCTAAGGAGGAGGGGACGCCTGTCCGGCCATTTCAGGAGTCCCCCCCTCCTTAGCTTTCAACCCTTGTGCTCTGAGCCGCCTCACCACCTGCCCTCCGACAGGAGGGGGAGACCGGGTCGGGGGCATCAACTGGACTCTGAAGGGCCTCGAATTTCCTCCCCGCTCTGATGTTTGTTGGCTGTGAGCCATGGGACAAGCTCCTGTACCTCGCTAACTGCTGTTTCCTCCTGTGTCACTGGGGATGACAACACCTTCCTCACACAGAGTCTGGCCCCGGAAATGAGAAAACGTAGGTGTACATCAAACACCTAGTCAATGGTGCAGGTGCTCAAGAGATGGAATCCACTGTCACTTGGGGCCCTCAGTGGAAATCCATCAGCGTTTCCTTTGTGCTTACATTCTTGTTTAGGTCTGGGACTCTACCTGATGACATCCTGACTGTCCTTTCTCCCTCCCTACCCCCGGCGATTCCCAGCGATGCCATCCGAAGACCTTTCAAAAGCCGTCACCGCGGGTCGTCTGCAGCGTGTCCAGATGAGCCGCTGGGCTCCCCTCACTCAGCTGGACACTCTTCCCCCACGGAATTTTCCAGAGCCTGCCAGTATATCTGCATCTTCTGAGGCTGGATAAAATGGCAGGCCACGATCTTCTTAAAACGGCACGTGGAAAAGTTCAACCCGTCTGGGAAGAAGGTCTGCTTGGAGTGAAGCTCCTCCAGGCCGATTTTCAGCTTTGCGAGGCAGAGCCCCACAAAGACATCTTCCAGTTTAAGGAAGGGGATGCTTCCGGCGACGTCATACACCTGACTCGCGACGTCGCTGGAGAAAACGTAGCCTGTGCCGGAGCAAAAAGGTGGGTACCTGTCCCACGGATACTCGTACTTACTGACAAACCACTTATTTTCCTTTTCCCTAATGGGAAATTCGTTCATTTTTAAGAAGCCGGTGAAAAAACGCGTCGTCCTGTTTTTCTTGAGCAGCAGCTCAGTCAGATAGTGGATGTTGACAAACATGTCCGAGTCTGTTTTCATCACGAAAGCCGCCTGAGGACAGAAGTGGTGGATCCACTCTATCCCCATCATGGTCTTCAGAGTCAAGTTGAAATAAGCGTCCACAAAGTCCTTCTGGATGATATCGTGATACCGCCAGGCTTCCTGGGCCACCGCTCTCGACACGTTCTTACTGGGGCTGCTTCCCAGAAGGAAGAACGTTTTTATCCGTTTTCCCATCACGACCCTTTCCCTGCCCCACGTGTTCCGGATGACCAGGCGAGCGAACATCTGTTTGTGGGATGACGTCACCAGCAGGACGAGGAAGGGGGGGTTCTGCTTGCAGTCGATGTCTGGGAGCTGGAGGAACCTCCCGTCTTCTTTCTTGAAAGCAAACGGCACTTTTTGGAGAAAGGACAGATCGTTCACGCTGAAATACACACAAAGGGCTCCCAGAAGGACCAGGGACATATACATCAGTCGCATCTTCACAGCAGCCATCTGAAAGGAACAGAATCAAATGGTGAGACCTCAGAAACGGCAGGCACGGCTTAGCTTGACCCAGGGAGGCTGGGATGGGGGAGGAGACCCACGTCTCAGGGCTCGTGTTTCAGAAACTCGGGGACCTCGCCGCACGCAGAAGGGATGCCGGGGTCACCGCGAGGCACAGAGCACCGCCAGCGTCATTCACTCCACGCCACACGCTCGGTCAGGACCACGGGGACTGGGCGCTGGTGCTGGCCCGAGGCTCACTGTCCTTCCCCACGGCGGGTCTCAGATTCCTTCCGTCGAAGCCTATGGGACCACCTCACTCGCTAGCTCCTTCGAGCTCTGCCCTCCTACGGCTCCATAATGAAGTCCAGCCAGAGAACCTGCGAGGCTGGAAACCACGTGTCCCAGAGCTACGCGTACGGACCGCCTGCCTTCTCCTCCGACGGCACGAAGCCCCATCTGATCCCGTCCATACAGAAAAAGACCAGTTTTCTAATTTGCACAACTGCCTTAGAATTCCACCTGGCTGGCGGTGGTTGTTCTTTTGGTTTGTTTTTTTTTTTCGGTTACCCTTTTAAATCTCATCTGATGTTCTCGCCTTGTGCCCACCCATCTCTGTCATTCTCAACAAATCCCGGCGATTCGCATTAATGACAGCATCATGAAAGCAGATAGCTCACGTTTTCCTGGGTCAGGTGAACATCTGAGTTGGAGACCAAGCCCCACGGCAGGTTCCACGGGGCGGAGGAGATCCGTTCCAAAGTGCCGTCGGCTTTGCCGTTCTGCACGCTCACGTTCTGGGCTTGGTTCCTTTACCCAAAATGACGGTTTTCTTCCTCAAGCATCGCTATAAAGGACAAACAAAGAGAACAGCACCATTCGAACCGCTCACGCGTCATCCGTGCCCAAGTGTCTGCCACCCGTCTACCTCGAGGACGCTGCAGAGCCCTGCCCCAGCCTTGCTTTCTCATCCGCGAAACGGGTACGACCAAGCCAAATGCCACCATCTGCTGCCCCTGTCCGCGACAGCAGCAGCAGGAAAATATCTGGCCTAAAGGCGTAGGACAGCGCCCAGAGCTTCGCAAGGACGCCCATGACAGACACTCCAACTACACATGCTGATGTCGACCTTCTCTGCACAACAGAGTGGCTGACGCTTCGAGAATTTAGCACAGGGTTGGAATCCATGGATTCGCGACTCAGCGTCGTCTTCAGAATATCATCCTAAGTGAGATGACAGAGGGGCCAGAAAGAAAAGAAACAGACTGAGTAAAATGAAGAAAGGGTTGGTTATTTTGATGGTAAAAGAAGACCTCGAATTTCATCAAGTTAAAATTCTGTCCCGAATATAATCAAATACATTGAGAAAAGAGTGGAGGGAGCTTTCCAGAACGAGCTAGCTCTCTGGAGGCCGGCTTAGTCCAGCTCCTGATCTTCTCGGCACCCCAGGAAGCGCCTGTCCCGCTGGTGCCCCCACCGCTTTCAAAGAAATCACCACGGGAGTCAGAGCCAGTGCGCGCAGGATGCTGAGAACTCTCTTTCTTCCTTTCTGTGTGAGATTATGGATTTGCAGGGCTAGAATGTGTCGTTTATTTTGAGAAGGGGCGAGAAGGGAACATCACATTTTTCCCCACAATACATTGTTAAAGTTGCCTCAACAGTGAACCCTAAATTCTCATTCCCCCAATTCGCCTTTCTCAGGATCCTTCACAAGGATTTCGGTCCCCAGGGGTGGACACTTGGCTCTCTGCCTGCAGTGATCTCTCACTAGATGCCAAATGGCACCCAGGAGGCAGAGTGAACACTCTCCCTGCTGACAGTAGAGGGACCAAGAAACAAACCCTCCAGAAGTTACGCCTCACAATCCCATTTACAAAGCATCCGCATCTCTGATTGAGTCTCTGTCGTGTGCTGAAGAACGCGGGACCCAGCCTTCCTCCGGAGGTGGATTTGGGGGGTGCACCCAGGACCAACAAGGGACAGGACCTGGAACAGCACATTCTAGGAAGGAAAGGGTGTGCCCCAGCTTCCGGCCCTCACAGGCCAGTTGCGGGGCAGGAGCCCTTAACATAGAGCAGATCTGCCTTACCTGGGACGGAGCCCCACCTTCTAAGCACACCTGGACCAGGCTGTGTGGCCCGGCCAGCCAGTCAGTAACAAAACAGCCATTTATTTAGCAGATTCTGTTTTGCAGGCTTTGCCCTTTTAACTTACGAGCAGACACAGACACAGAGCCTCAGAACGGGAGTAGATAGGAGTTCGCATGAATTATAGATTAAGGCCACCCAGGCAACAGGCCCCTCCCCCACCTCCTCTGCCTCCTGCCCTCCACAGACTCCTCTGCAGTTATCTCAGCTGCCAGCGTCAGCCCCAGGCTGGGGTGACTCTGCCCAGAAGGGCTGCAGTGCCCAGAGGACCAGGGGCACACCCCTCTTACGACCCCAGAGGGATATGCACAGCTTAGATACAGAGCACATCTGAACCGCAGTGAACAAACAATAGCACCAAGTGGGAGCTTCAGGGCAGGGAAATGCTGTCTGGGTGGAACCTGGAAGCCGCTGGCCTAACCATCTCCCCAGGCCAGGCGGGCAGGACCTCTGAGTCAAAGTTACAGGGCCTGGAGGCAAAGGGTTCTGAAGTTCACATGCCCAAAGACTGGAGAGCCAATGGAATGGTCTGGAAGGTCAAGTTCATGGGGGCTGGTGGGGAGGAGCTCCTGGATCCGAAGGGAAAGAACTGGAGTGGGTGGCAATGGTCAAGTTCAACCTTGAGGCCAGAGGGAGCACCTGGGGCCACAGCAAACAACCAAGGGCATGTTTCCAGGAGCTCATGGCCCTGGGTGGAGAGAGAACTGGCCAGTGCCGAGCCAGCTGGGTGGGCCATGAGGATGGTTCTTGATGGGCACGGGGGATGTGGCAGGTGCGACCGGGGGAGGCAGTTCCAGACCACGGGAGCTCAGGGAGTGTGGCGGGCAGTCCAGAGGGCTGGGGTCCTTCGGGACACCGTCCCAGAGCCACCATCACACATCCGGGAAGACTTGCCATCCCACGGGCCATGGAGAACAGAGCGGCATCCTGGGAAATACAGAATGGCTGACATCCAGGATCTCTGCGCCCGAGCCGCCCAGAGGTTCTCAGACACGGCGAGCACAAGGACCACCCAGGACCGTGGTTAGAAGCTCAGGGTCAAAGGGCGCGTTCCACGGAGATCTCGGCAAGCAGAGCCGGAGCCCGAGACTCCTCTGCCTTCACGCAGCCCGCCTGATCCCACGCGCCAGAGCCCGAGACTCCTCCGCCTTCACGCAGCCCGCCTGATCCCACGCGGCGCCGGCCGCTCCGCAAACGCCGGTGGGAACCGCTCGTTCCGAATCCACCAAACGCGGCACCGTGACGCGAACGAGCGAGGCCAGCGACCCCGGGCCGCGGCGCCCACCCTGAGTTTGAGGTGGACCATTCGCACAGACTGAAAACACCCCCTCCCCTGGGAGTCGGGGCTGGGGTCCAGTAGCGCAGGACACTTGTGAGCTGCTCGCTGTCACCACGTTTGTTGGTCAAATACACATTTTTTAATTCTACGGAAAAAATGGCAATGGTGCTGACAACTTTAAAATTGTTTTCTATTTAATAACGTGAACCATCGACTCTATTTCGACCCCGTCCCCAGTAAGAAACGTCTTACTTTCTACTCGGGCTCCGTGTGGCCGCACGACAGGGCCTAACAGGGGTGGCCTTTGGCAGTGGCCGTCCACTCAAGCCGCCCCTGACCATGCGGGTCCTCGCCGGGCTGGGGCCGGGGTCTGCATGCAGAGGTGTTTAGAGGGTGCCTGGGGCTCCCCTTTGGTGAGAAAGGACTTCAGGTGTCCCCATGCCGTGAGGAACGGTTTCTTTCTCTGCCTTGCACACCAGCTCATCAGCCCAGCCAAGGACGGCGAACAGAAGTCTCGTCCATCACTCACTGTCGTGCTGGCCGTGGCTGCAGGTAACCTTATTACTGAAATGCCCCCGGCGGCAAGGCCTCGCGGGCCTCCTGTGCCTCCTTTGAGGCTGGCCCTCTAAGACAGGAGCACGGCTTCCAGTGGAGCCCAAAGCTGTCACGACGGGGTGAACACTGCACCCTCGTCCCAGGCCCTTCTGCTGCCTCCGAAAACCTTTTCTGTGGCAGGCAAGGCCCAGGTGCCTGGGCGGGGTTCAGTGATAAGGAAGACAAACCTTCGAGGGGACAGCCCACAGGACAAGCACAGCAACCGTGTGCGGCCAGCGAGGAAGTGTGTGAGCCTAACGAGGACTCCCCGCAGGCCCCTCTGAACCCCCTTCTCGACGAGGCCCCAACCCTGAGACTGCTGTGTCCCTCTATGCGTCGCCGGCTTCAGCAAGAGTCCCAAGTGGCTTTAGTCAGAATTCCCCAGACTCCTGACATTCCCAGGAAGTCCCCAGAGGACAGCACGGAGATCCCATCTGGGACGTTCAGGGGAGCTGCTCTAGGGAGGCCCACGGGCAGAGGCGGGGTGTCCGGAAGGGCCTGAAGGGCTCCAGAAACAGGGCAGTGAGCAAAGGGAAAGCTTAGAGGTGAAGTCAGAACCAGGCGGGGTGGCCGAGCATGGCCTTGGAGAGTGTGTGAGGAGGGCAGCTTTTCCTGATGACAGCAGGGCATCCACACACCTTCTCTAGGCTTTACAGACCAACAACTCAGGGTCCCATGGGCCTCTCTTCCTACCCACAGTGCAACAGAGAGAGAGAGAGAGAGAGAGAGAGAGAG